GTAGTGGAGAATTATTAGAAAACCTCTCGGGTTTGCGCTCTTGGGAGAATCTTATGAAGAATCCCTAAAGATCCTAATACAGAACCTATTAATTATGACGAATCACTACAATGATACAGATGCTGATAAATGGGTTGATGCTATGAAATTTGAAATGGAGTCCATGTACTCCAATCAGTCTGGATCTTGTAGAACCACCTACTGGAGTCAAACCCATAGGTTGTAGATGGATCTATAAGAAAAAGAGAGGAGTGGGTGGAAAAGTGCAAACTTTTAAAGCTACGCTTGTTGCAAAAGGGTTTACTCAAAAGAAGGGATCGATTATGAGGAAACTTTTCGCCGGTAGCCATGCATAAATCCATTAGGATTCTCTTATACATTGCTGCTCATTACAATTATGAGATCTGGCAAATGGATGTCAAGACCGCTTTTCTAAATGGAAGTCTTGATGAGTGCATCTATATGGCACAACCAGTTGGTTTCATAAAAGTGGCAATGAGCACATGTTGTGTAAATTAAAGAAATCCATTTATGGATAGAAACAAGCTTCTAGGGCTGGAACACTTTGTTTTGACGCATCGATTAGGCCTTGCGATTTTGATCAATGGAAAATGAGTCTTTGTCTATTAAGAAGTGAATGGAGATAAAGTTACATTTTTGGTATTGTACGTAGACGATATTATGGGCTCATAGGAAGATAATAGTGAGCCCTGTTGAATTCAGTAAAGGAATGGTTGTCCTCACGTTTCGATATGGAAAGACTTGACAGGCAACACATATCCTTGGGATTCAAGCTTATGCGAGATCGCAAGCAAATGATATTAGGCTGTCCCAAGCACTTTATATTGATACTATTCTCACCAGGGTTTAGCATTGCAAGAATTCCAAAAAGGGTTTTCTCCCCATGGAATTCTCTTCTGTCCCAAGAGAACAGTCCCCAAAAAATGACTGATGAAGATAAAAAAGATTGAAGGCAGTCGCCTTATGCTTCTGCTTGTAGGAGAGTCTTATGTATGCAATGCTATTTACTAGACCTGACATCTGCTTTGCTGTTGGCATGGATTAGTAGATTTCAAGTCTAACCCTGGTCGAGACTTGGACTGCTGTTACAGCATATAATCAAGTATTGAAGAGGACTAGGATTAATATGTTGGTGTATCATCAGGTGATCTTGCACCCATTGGCTATACTGATTCAGATTTCCTCAGATAGCTAGCTCATAGAAATACTACCTCAGGACATATGTTTTTACCTTAGGCAGGTGAGGCACGATAAGTTGCGGAGTAGTAACAAGCAATCCAATGTGTTTACACGATTCACCATGGAAGTCGAATATTGGCTTGCATCTGATGGCAGCTAAAAGAGGCTGTTTGGCTCAGGAACTTTCTGAAAGAGCTTTAATGTGGTTCCTTCGGTTCAAGCACCAATTGTACTTATTTGTGACAATAATGGTGCCAGTTGTACTCGAAGGAACCAAGAAACCTAAAAGGAAGTAAGCAATTGAGCGTAAATATCACTTAATTCTGGGACATAAACTCAGAGAGGTGATGCCAAGAGTGTTGAAGATTGTCATTAGACAATTTGGCAGACCGCTTTTCAAAAAGAGCTTGACACAAAAGATTTTTGACAAGCATTGTAGAAGGAATGGGTGTTAGAGTGGTAGACGCATGTTATGAGTCTAAGTGGAGATTGGTTGGGATATACTATAACCTTACGGTTTAGACATAGATTATTGTTAATTCTTTATGGAACAATTATTTATTTACATTTAGTCAACTCAAATAAGTACTATTTATAAATAGATCATTTGTACATGTTTGTGTGCTTTGTAGTTATGTTAGTAGACAATTTAGTGTATGATCTCTCC